GCTCCATAATCTTCTCCAGCACCGAGGTCAGGCTGACATGCCTGTAGTACCCTGGATCCTCCTTCCGGCCCTTCTTGTAGATGGGCATCACATTGTCAAGTCTCCAGCCTTCCGGGACCTCCCCTGTTAACCAGGACTGCTGATAAATGATGGAGAGTGGCTTGGCAAGCTCCTCTGCCAACGTCAGTACCCTCGGATGAATCCCATCCAGCCCTTTAGACTTGTGAGTGTCCAGGTGGCATAGTAGATCGTTAACTTCTTCCTCCTGGATTATGAGTGGTTTATTCTGCTCCCCATCCCTGTCTTCCAGCTCAGGAGGCTGATAACTAGCCTGGCTATTAAAGACTGATGCAAAGGCGGCGTCCTTGTCCTCTGTCACCATGTTTCTCTCCACGTCCAGTTAGGGATGGAGATTCTCTTTGACTCTCCGTTTGTTGCTAATGTATTTGTAGAAACTTTTTTTTTTTGTTTTTCAATATTTGTACAATTAAGATCATGTAAAAAAGCCAAACATCTGATAAATCTTCACTCCTACATTAGAAACCAAAGGATGGGGAGGCACTGACACTTGCCCATGCTATTCAGCTGTACTGGTACTCCAAATCTGACATGTAGCCAACACAGACTTACTGTCAAAATAGTAACTCGATATCAACTGTAGACAGTTTTAAAAAGAAAAGGTTTTGATTTCTTACTCATAAGCCTTCAAAGTTACCAAAAATAGTTAAAGGCAGCTTGTTTCATTTAATGTGTAAAATCACAACATACATTTGTCAGCATGTTTTATTAAACTTCTCTTATTTAAGTGATAATAACAAGCTTCAGTGAAGCTGAAAATTCAACGTCCTGTACCACAGGCTGCAAACTAATAAAGCTTACGGGATTCTGCTAACACTCCACTTTCACTGATGTGTGTAAATCGTTCATGGTAAAGAGACATTCCGACGATGCTATTGATCTTTTTGTTATGGTGAATATTGCTGAACGTAAGACTTTTCAACCTGTTTCATGTAGAAAAGTGTAAAACGCAAAACATGGTGCTGAAATTCTGACCCCAGTCATCTGAGAGTGCCACAATCTGACTCCATTTAAAATGTCCTGAAAGGCTTAGACAACTTTTTCATAGAAAAGTTAAAGTATTCATGGAACAACAGTGGAGATATCTTACAAAACTAGAATTAAATCTTCAGTAACAGTTCAAAGCACTGGTAACTAAAAACAACATACAGAAACTTTCTACCTGGATGCCTTCTAAAAATACACACTCCAGTATTTCACATCATAGTTCCAGAAGGGCTAAAAGTCACATGACACACAGACACTGGCTAAGGAGATCTGTAGGAATAACTTGGAGATAACAAGAGATTCCTGAACTGAATGGCAGGACTGCAGGGCAACTCAACCACATCACTCTTGGCAGCTCTTGTTGGTTTACCCTGTCGCTCTGTTCCCCAACAGTGCTAAGGACACCTCCAAGATGCTGCTCCTGCATCAGGTGACAGCTCCAGTGTGACAGCTCTATGTAAAACATGGGAGTCATGTGAAGAGTCACAAGTGTACCACTCCAATGTAAGAAAACTAGATGTTTGTATCTTAACTTGCCCCTCTCCTCAAACTGCTAGTACTCTATCTTGTCTTTACTTACCAGAAAAAGTAGAGATTTATTCTGTACCGAAGTCATTTAAGTATGCCAATGTAGCACGTATTCACATAATTTTTGAAAAAACATAAAGTACCTATTATTTCATTCTAAGTAAGTTGTTGTAAAGCCATCAGCAGCACATTATCAGGCATCCATCTGGCTTGAAAATATCCTCCTCACAAGTACAAAGAAGATGGGACTGATATAGCTACCACTTTAGGACAGGTATCCAAATTACAGATTTATATTGCGAAAGAATGAACTAAGACAACTGCAGAAAAAATCACTTAAATAAGAAGCCGCTGCTCTGCATTTAGGCTTAATATTAATTTTGAATTGTAAAATAATATATGTTACTAATATATTTTTGAAAAAAATCAACAAAACTTACTTGCTGTGACAGTGCAACAGCAAATCAATGATAAACGTCTGCCATGCCTTTTCTTTACTGAGTGCATCCAGTGCCGTTGGAATCAAAGCAAAACACAGGGTCATCACCTCCAGTGCTTCACAGCAAACTTGTTCGTCTTCCGCGTCTGGTTCATTTCCTGCGTTTGTCTGTGAAAATAAACAAAAGAGCACAAAGTGGGCACAGAAAAAATACCGAGAAACCCAACTGGCTGCAAGGTATATGCACTAAATACAAACACAAACCATACATTTGTAAACCAAGTGATTATCAGTGTCAAGGATTTTCTGCACTCCACTTACATGTGATTTAAAACACTGTGGCAGGATGACCTGAACTTCCAGTACTGTGCTTCTCAAAGGAGGATTCCAAGCATGAACTTAAGGAGCCAGAAGTTAAATTAAGAAGCTTGTAGGCAAAAGGTACATCAGCTAGTACTACTGAGGTTTTATGTTGTTTGTACTTGGGTTTTGTTTGTTGCATTTTTTGATTTTTAAATAAGATGTTATTTCTTTACTACTCAGAACCAGGAATTTAAAGCTTTGGAAACAGTTACTAAAACAGAGGAAGATCACAGTGCTATATAATTCATCAAGAAGTCCAGTTCTACAAAGCTTAGATACTCAAAATTTATTTGATCAAAAGCTTAATACTTCTAAATTTATTCAGCACTTCACTATTCTTCAGAAACATGGAACAGCTGAGCCCAATTTCAAACACAGCTGCTGTGGTGATTTTTGAAATAGGAAAGGATATTTCTAATTAATTCTTTCAATTAAACATCTGAATCAAGTGAGTTGATTTTGGTATATTTTTCCAAAATAAATACTTGGAGAATAAAAGCAAACCCTCTCCTCCACCTAAGCAAAATTGATTAGCTTGAAGGAGTTCTGAAGAAACAATGTGAGCAGGTTTCAATCTTAATTCATCAGTAATCATGGCTGTAGGTTAGCAACAGTAACAAGTATTTGTTTTATATATGGAAAGGTATCAAGATTTAAGCAGGCAGAAAGAAGGGTTTCCAAAGCAAAAGAGCACACGGTATATCTCAGTCTGGCAACAGACACTATTTTGTCTTAGCACAACAGCTAAAAATCAGAGACAGTCACTACCACTGCAGCGGGAGGATGTGGTAATTCCGACACATCTCAAGATAAGAAAGTAAAAGCAGAATGCTTTCAACAAGTTCAGGACCACACCTGTTCTGCTCTGCAGCCCTGTTTGGAAAAGTAAGTTACCTCTGCATGGATGTAGGGATCTAGCAGACAGACAAAGTGCATTTTATCCTTGGCAGAGTACTTCCCTATATTTGGGCACCAGGAGATGACGAGTCTGCACAAGCAGCAGACTTGCAGTATTCCAGGTGGGTACGGGCCTCCCCTGAGCTAATACGGAAATGGCAGTTTGACACCACTGAATGTCACACAGTCTTCTTCATCCATGGAGAGGACTCCCATCCCAGGGTTTTTTGAGGCAGGAGGCAGAAGAGACTCCATAAAAGTTGTGCTCTCAAAATAATTTATCTTCACTTTAAAGTTCAACTGAATTCACCAGTTAAGTTCAGCAGCCTCTGAATTTGCTCACAACATTCTTTCAGAAGTTGTACTTGACTGGACTCCTCTGAAGCGCCTCTTAAAACAAATTACCATAGTTGCCTTTGATGTCTTTAGGAATCCTGAGCATGTCATTCCTGATTCTACCAAATCAGTCTGCTTTTGTTCTTAAACTAACATTTAATGATAAATCTCTACCCCACAGACTTGCTCCTGTGACCTGTGAGTAAAACTATAAGGTTCAGTGGTCAACTTAAAAATTCGAAAGCATTTTTCTTTAAATACTTTCTCATCTAAGTCAGTGTTTGCCAGTCACTGATATATTCAATTTTTATAAAACTACCATAGGAGTTACTTCGTCTCATCTACAACCAAAGGCAATTCTCTGAAATTCAGAACATGTTACTTCTTGCAACATATTCCTCTATTTCTGTGATACTTTCCTCTCTTTTCATGTTATTTTAACAAAGTGTACTTTAGTCCCCTTACTTACTACTTCAGCAATTTCTTCCTCCTTTAGTTTCTAATTTTTCCCTTCAATTTTTATTTCCCTTTTGCCTAGCATAAGCCAAATGCAGCTGCCATTTATTACAAATATCCATATAAGTGTCAGTAATAATAACAACAAGAACCACCACCCACAAAAAATGCTGAAGGACAACTGACAATGCACAGCTTAAATTTCACCTATTTTGAAACTTCAATTCACAGAATCACATAGAATCACTAAGGTTGGAAAAGACCTATTAGATCATCTAGCCCAACCATCAGCCCCAACCCTCCCATACCCACTAGACCATGTCCTCAAGCACCACGTCTACACGATCCTTGAACACCTCCAGGGATGGTGACTCCACCACTTCCCTGGGCAGCCTGTTCCAGCGCCTGACCACTCTTTCAGTGAAGAAGTTTTTCCTAATATCCAATCTAAACCTCCCCTGACACAACTTGAGGCCGTTTCATCGTCTCCTATCACCAGTTACCCAGGAGAACAGACCAACAATTGTTTGAAAATATTCTTACACAGATAACTATACAATTTTCACCCAGAAAAAATGTCAGAAAAGCACATGTAGGTATATCTTCCTTTAGGATGATTTTCCCTAGCACACTACTGCACTTAAAGCATCAAATATATAAATATAAGAGCACATCTTCATGTGCCTGGACTTTCACACTAACTAAATCATGTCATATATGCAAGTTGCACCTCAAAAACGCCCCCAAAACCAACCAAGAATACACCCACTTATTTCATAGAATCATAGAAT